GAGGGTCCTGGCTACTGGCCTTTGCTGGTTTTTCCCAGCCTACCTTCCCGGAGCTTTGGGTCTCCTCTCCTTGTCCTCACAACCCCCTGTCCTCTCCAGCCTCGCTGGCCACCCAGGGAAGGACACAGATGGTCCTCCGGAAGAGGAGCGTGGCTGACTGTGGCGCCTGCCCTCTAGCGGTCAGGGGGGAGAATTGCTCATCTTAACTTCCTCTGTCCTGGCCTCCCACCCTCTGGTCCACACCACCCCGCATACTGTGTTCCCAACCAAATCAGGGCAGTCCGTCAGGACACTCCCAGCCTGGCTCACCCTCACACCCTGCCTGCCAGTCCTGAGTTCGTCTCCCTTCCCTCTTCCCAAGTCCTCTGTGGCCTTAGGGGAGACTGAGGCCAATACTGTCCTCCTCCTACTATAGGATCCTTTATCCTGCCCTCCTTTCCAGCTGCTGGATTCACATGCCCCACATCCTCTTAGGATGGACAGAGCCCTCCACGAAGACCTCTGGTTGGAGCCCTGTCTCCCCGAGAGGCACCACAGGGTCAGGTAGGCCGGGAATAGAAGATGTTGGTCAGGACCAGGGAGGCTGGGGCGTGAGCCTCTGCTCTGTCTCCTACAAAGGCCGAGGGTCCGACCTCCTGCTAGACCCTAAGGAAGGTCTGAGGGAGTGGAGCCCTGCCCTCCCCCCGGAGTTGCCACAGCCTGGCCCTTGGAACCAGGGGGCAGGGGTGCTGGTTAGTCTGGGGTGGCAGTGAAAGGACAGGACTCCAGGCTTTGAGGGGGAGGGGTGTCCTGAGCTCCCCCCTCCCCCCACCTGCCCACTCCCCTGGAGAACTGGAGCAATGAGGATGTTTTCTCCAAGGCAGTGAGATGGTACCTGCCAGCTTTAAGTCCTTTGGTGCAGCTGGTGGCCAGGGCTGTAGGGGCACAGGATGGTACCTGGGGGGCCCTGTCCCAGCCAGCTCCTGCTCACCACTGTAAACCGTCTCCAACGCTGTGACATCAAGGCCCCAGGAGGCTGGGAACGAAGCTGCCTTCACAGTGGTTATTTCTGCCCTCAGCTCCAGAGGTGGCTCTGAGAGGAACAAGGAGGGTGGGCACTGCCATTTAGTTCACGAGAAGGCCCCGTGCATGAGCACCTGACCCCGCGGTACCCCTCAGGGGCCCTACCTGCCCAGCCCTGGCACGGTCCCCAGGCCGGGGCACATCCTTCCCCGCGTCCTCCGTGTCTACCCTTCCTGGGCTTGGGACGGCTGTGCCTGGGGGCCCCGGCCATACTGGATCACCGTGACCTTGAAGGCCCCAGCTGCTGGGGCCAGCTCCGCTCCAGCGGTTGCCATGACATCCGGTACTTCTGTCGGCAAAAACCAAACAGCCAGAGTCTACCTGGCAGGCGGCCACTGCTGTTGCCACTCTTAAGGGCACTGGGTACCTTCTGGGGGGCCGCGGAAGGAGTGCAGCCATAGCAACCTGGGCTGCTCAGAGGGGGCAGCCCCGCTCACCTCGGAGCTTCTCTCCCGCCCCTCAGGCCTTGTGAGAAAGCGACACCTCGGGTCCAGAAATCATCCTTGCGGGCTAGCCAGCAGGACAGCACCCTTCCCCCTCAAGAGCTAGGAGCCAGCGGTGGCCCGGGAGGGAGTCTCGAGTGCTCCCCCTTCAGGGTCTCACTGCTTCACCCCCTGCCGGGAAGCCACAGCCTAGCTCCCCGGTAGCAGCACCCTCCTGGGGTCAACTTCTAGCCAGACGGTCAAAGGCAGAAGAGCAGGGAAACCAGCAGGCCAGGCCTCGGCGAGCCAGGCGCACGGAGACCGGGGTGGAAAGACCATGAAGAAGCAGGTTGCAGCACCCCCCGACCCCCACTGCAGGAGAACTAGTCATACCCTATACATCAGATCCTCACCATAGGCACTCAGACACCAGAGTGGTCCAGAAATGGCCATTTTAATGCAGAAAACCATGAGAATTTACAAATGAGTCACTTTTTGGGCCAGAGCCAGGAGGCCGTGAGGGCAGAAAGGAGGTGGCGGCCGTTGAGAAGCTGGGGCCATGAGCTCAGCACCTTCACGACCCCTCCGACCCAGGCCCTCGTGTGCCCGGGCGAGCCCTGGAGGTCCCCCGGCCCCTGCCCCTTAGCGCCCACTAATTTCCTAGTGGGAAGACCTTGGGTCAACTTTAGGACAGAAGGTAGACAAATCTTGGAAATGAGGGCCTGGAGGGCACAAGGCAGGAGTCTGCTGGCTGCTGTTGGCCACCCCACCCGTTGCTACACCCCCTGGGGCCAAGCACGGAGCAAAGCCGGGCTGTGGAGCCCCAGGACATCACCCCTCCCTTGCCTTCCCTCCTGGTGGGTGGCAGAGGGACCGAACACAAGCAACGGAGCAAAAAGGGTGAGGGAGGGGAGCACGGGTCCTGGGGCTGAGGTCTGGGAAGGGGCTGTTTGACTGGATCTGGCTTGGAGAAAGGGAGGGATCTCAGATGAGGTCGCTTGGGGGGGAGCCGTCAAACCCAGTTCTAGACCATCCCCCCAAGCTATGTCCATCCATCTGTCAGAGATGGCATGATGCTGGTTTGGGTTCAGCACCTCCCACGTGGGGCATGCAGGGGGAGATGGGCTGGAGGCTCAGGGCACTGGAGGTAGAAAGGAGCCCTCCCACCTTCCCCTTTCCCCTAAGCCAGGAAGGTCAAAGACACATCTAAGGCAGCCCAGATTCCAGCATGGCCCGAGGCCGTGAATACTGGGCTTCCCAAGGGGTGGTTGTGGTCCAGGCCCCCCGCCGACTACAGGCACTTCCCCCCAATCCCCCCACCCCACCACCCCCCAATCTGGCAAGGTGAAGGGGACCCCCCCCAGAGCCGGGGCGTCTCAGCCCCTCCCAACAAAAGAATGTGGTCTCCAGCAGCTTCCACTGGGGGCAGGGGCGGAGCCTTTGCCCTGGACACCCACCTGTCCCCTCTCCCACCTTGTCCGAGGGCGCGGACCCCAGGGCAGAAGTGAACCCTGGAGCACAGGTCCTGCCAGGCATGGGTAGGGGAGAGATGGGGAAGCTGGTCACTTTGGCATCTCCAAGGCTGACACCTGGGGCTTCACCTTGAAGTACTGGTGGAATCGGATCACTGCGTACCTGCCAGGAGACCAGAGGGAGCCTGGAGTGAGAAGAAAAGCCACTGGGCCCCACTGGGGGCGCTCACACCACAAGGAAGTCTCACCAGCTCAACCCCAGGGCAGACGGATGTTTCTTTTTTTTTTTTTTTTTTTTACTTCAACTATTTTATTTTTCTTCTTAGACTGGAGCCGCTCTTCCCCAATTTTTTTTTAAGAGTTCAGCAGTGTTAAGTACATGTATGTTGTTATGCAACAGATCTCTGGGACTTTCTCGTTTTGCAAAACTGAAACGCTGTACCCATGAAGCAGCAACTTCCCATATCCCCCTCCTCCCAGCCCCTGGCAACCACCCCTCCGCTCCGTTTCCTTTTTAAATTTCAAGCAAACTCCGCCGCACAGGTGGGGCTCGAACACACAACGCTGAGATCAAGAGTCACAGGCTCTAGTGACTGAGCGCCCCCTAAGTTATTAATTATTAAATAACGAATTTAGTTATTTCATGAAAGTGGAATCCTACGGTATCGATCTTTTGGGGACTGGCTTGTTTCACTTAGTACCATGTCCTCAAAGGTCATACGTTGTAGCACGTGACATGATTTCCTGTCTTTAAAAGGCTGAGCAATATTCCATCGTCGGTGCGTACCACATTTTGTTTATCTACTCAGCCATCCACGGCTGCCTCCTGGCTGTTGTGAATAATGCTATCAACATGGGCGTGCAGGTATCTCTTTGACACCCTGCTTTCCATCCTGGCCACGTACCCAGCGGTGAGAACGCTGGATTGCACAGGAACTCTATTTTTAACGTTTTAAGGAAGCACAGCATGGTTTTCCCCAGCAGCTGCACGGTTTTACGTTCCCCCCCCAGAAGGGCCCGAGGGTTCCAATTGTCTGCGTTCCCACCAACACTGGTTTTCTGTTTGATAGCAGCTGTCCTGACGGGCGTGAGGTGACAGCTCACGGTGGCTGTGCTTTGCATTTCTCTAATTGTTGTGAACGCTGTGAAGCCAGGTGGGGGGAGGAAAGGGCAAGAAGACTGGACCAGAATGGAGGACAGAAAGGACTCCCGGTCCTTAGGGACATCTGTACCTTACACGGTGGAGCCAGCGGTCAAGATCCAAGTATGGTTTCAGTACAGACCCTAATACATCACGGAAGGAGGTCCGACAGCCCACACAGTAAGCGCTAAGCCCTGAGTGACCTCACTGAGCCACCTCCACTCTCTGGCACTCTGTCCCCGCCGTTACGGAATGGACAGTTCCATTCAGCAGCAGGCCCCGTGGCTACGAGCGCTGGCAGGAGAGCAGGGGCAGTAGAAGAGGTCGTAGGATGTAGTAGGAAAAGCAGTCTCCCACCAGGCACGAGGGGAGGGTTCGAGACCTTCCACTTTCTCAGAGTGGTCCTCTCGGCTCATGTGTTTCCCCTAGAGTGGTGACCTCACCGGCTACGGGCTGGCTGGAATGGGAGCAAGTTAGCAGACCAGAGGACGGGACTTTGGATGCTCTCTCTGGCCTGTTCTCTGCCCCCACGCCCTCGGCTCAAGCTTTTCCTTTCCCCCCACTCTCTGCCGCCCCAACTTGGCCCCTGCACTCACCTGAGGAAATCAAAGTCGATGGTGGAGAACTGGTTCTGGATGAGGGCCCAGAGTGCCCAGAAGAAGTGAGACGCCTGGAAACAGACCAGAGTCAGTCAGCAGGGCAATCACCCACTGCTGTAACGGACCCCACGCAGCTAGAGGAAAGTCACTCTGGGAGACACGGAAGTAGGCTGCTGGCGGAGACACGACGGGGTCTCCCCAGCACAGGTCAGGGGAAAATCTTGGAGGTCAGGTCACCGGACAGCGTTTGGGGGCTTCGCACCCTTGGGAAAAAGGTGGAGTCGATTCTACTGCCCCAGGAAGGGGTCGGCAGGGTGGTGCTTCCAGGGCCCTCGCTTGTCCCCCAGCCTGGACAACGCCATCCCTGGCTTCTCCCCTGCCCGGGGGAGTCTCCTGGGGTCTTCAAGGCCAAGGTATCCAGGATGAAATGAACCCCTGCACCAGATCACAGGCCCAGTCCCGTGATCCTCAGGAAAGACCCCCTTAACTGTCCTTCACCCCCTTCCCTCTTCTGTCAGGAGGTGGGTTGGGTTGGAAAAGGAGTGATGTGTGAGCAAGAAGTCCTGTGTCTGGGCTTTGACTAAGCATTCAGCTGCTCTCCCCAGGGCCAGAAGCACCCTCGGGGCCAGGCCACAGCAGTGACATTACTATCCCAGGCCAGGGCCCCCTACCCCCACCCCATGTCCTCTGGGGTTGGCTATATAGCCCCTCCCTCCGCTTTGCAGGGCCTTCCGTGGGTACAGACCAATTACCAAGTACAAATGATTACTAAAAAATGGTAGCAAGAGAAAGGCATAAGTGGAAGAGTTCAGAGGAAGAACCTGATGGAGAATCAGTTTTGTGCCAACGAGGGAAACCAGGAGGCAATCCAAAATGACAGGTAAGATTCTACTGAAGCTCCACTGAGGTATTAGGAAACCCGGAGCAGTGGGCTTGTCTTCTTGCTTATGCAATGGCTGGCATTACTAAGCCTAGCTGGCAATCCCCTGGACACACGACACGGAGACCTGGTACCCTGGATAAATGCCACTCAACATCAGCTCAGTACCGTGTGAGCAGGAAGAGCCTGACGGGAGAGGCTTACACAGAGTTCTGAGTCAGCAGAGGTAGTTAACAAGGAGGATGAGAACCGACATTCCTTATCTTCTCCAAAGGCAAAGAAAAAAAAAAAAAAAACAAACCACAAGCATTTAACTGCAGCATGAAAGGCTAGAGAGAACTACTTCTCCAAAAGAGAGAACTGCTGAAATAGGAAGCTGGGATCTTTCTTGGAAGTCTTTCCTTAGGAAGAAGAGAAAGACCTGATGGGGTAGGGAAAAGCAGGGGACAGGACATCTCGGTAAGATGGGGATGCCCAAGAGGGCGTCTAGGTGGGGTTCGGGATCATATGCTGGGGCCCCAGGACCTCACACCTAACCCCGGGCTCTGCTTCCTCCGCCACAGGCTGTGACCGGGTGGGAACCGCGGGTGGGCCCCTCCCTCCCCTGCCCTCTTCCGGGCTCAGGCACTCACCAGGGCAAACTTGTTGACTTGCACATAGAGCCTCTCCACCTCCCTGGGGGTCACGGCCATCCCCTTTTGAGCCTGTAGGTAGTAGCTCAGCCACTGCAGCTGGGTGTCCCGCCCAGGGTACCGGCAGTAATCGACCTCATTCACACCTGATGGGGAAGGGGCCAGGCTGTTGCTGGGGGATGGGCCCACCTGGGGGGGTCCTCCAGCTCAGATGTTCCCTGCTCCCCTCAGCACCTCCATGTGCTTTGCCCCGAGGGGCTGTGCCCAGGAAGACAGCCTCTCGACCACCGAACTTGGCTAATGTGTGCAGATTTCCGTGGGCTGGAGGAAAGCACAGAGACACCGTCTTGGGTGGGCCGGGGAACCCCCCCCCCCATCCCCACCCCCACCCAAGACAGCATCACTGTACCCGGTGCCCTTTACAGAACTAGGGCCCACAGGAGGTGCTCGGTCACAGCACCGCGTCTGCATCCTCATCTTCGGTCTGTTGCTAACTAACCTTGCACGAGACCTCCCCTCCCACTGGCCTAGGCCCCTTCCTTTTGGGCGTCTCAGATGCTGCTTCCTACACCAGTGCTGAGCTGGCCACCTAAAAACATCACCTAGAGAGCTTGGTAGAAACAGATTCCCAGGCATCTCTACCCACCCACCCCTCCCCCCCTCCAATTCTCCAGAGGATTCGGAAATGCATCCGGACTTGGAACCAGATGGCTTCGATTCCTTCCGGTCCTGCCCTTCCTTGAGTCCTCAAGCTGCCAGCCCGATCCGCACCAGCCATATCCTGGGCACGGTGGCAGAGGCCTTGGCTTCAGAGCTGGGACAGAAAGTGGCGGTTCGTTTAAGACAGGACCAGGACGCGGCTGCCTTCCCCATGGTCTCTTCCTCCCTCTCCTTTCCTTGTCTTTCCCAAGCTTCCCTCCTATTCCTGGAGAAAACAAGTCTCTGGGGCCCCGAGAGTATGGCTGGAAAAGAAGCTCCTTGCACGGTTGTAGAAACTAAGGCCCAGAGAGAAGAAACCTGCGCCGGGTCACAGAGCCAGTTAGAGGTGAATTCAGGGTTGCAACTCTTCTCTCCTACTTTCAGTACTGGGTCTCCCTGCTCCCAAGAGCCCAGGAGCTCCCCGCCTGGCTCCCAGTCTCCTTCCCCGCCCTCCTCCTTCCCCCATGCTAGGATCTGCCTCTTTCGTTCTCAACTTGGGAGCAGGATGCAATCTGTCCCTTTGGAGAAATTCCAGCTGGACTTTGCTCTGTATGGTGGGTGAGGAGGGCTTAAAATGCTTAAGAGATCGCCCTTCTGGAAAGGCCAGTGGGTCTGGCAGCCGAACACTCACAGGCCCAGGGCCCTGCCGGTGCCAGCCTCTGCTCTGTGCCACACCCCACAGCGTAGCTGCTCTGCCCAGCTGAGGCCCCCTGGTCCCTTGGGTTCCCAGATGCAGCTGGTGGCCACCCCAGGGAGTCACAGCCTCAGGTGCAATCAGAGCTTGACAGACCTGGTCACCTGAGGTTATGGAAGGGACACGGTGGGCCAGGATTGGGCCCGGGAGTGGCTGAGGCTGGGCCAGGTGGCAGCTTTACAGCTGGCCTGGGTGTGCCTCACCTGTCCTAAGCCACAGGGGCTGAGCACACCATGCATCCCACACTGTCAGCCTGGTGATGTCCCTCCAGCCCCAGGGCCCAAGCTCCATCCACGAGTTGCCTCTTTAGCCCCAAACTGTTTAACAATTAAGCCCTCAAGCTGGCTAAACCTACCCCGCTCCCTTTACACAAATGATGCGATTGTACACACTGTGCCTTTACTGAACAATCGGCCACCCCTACAAAACACCCCCTGCCCCCGTCCTCCATTCCTGCGCCGGTCTCCCCTCGCCGCCGGAAGGCCTCCCTGCCTGACATCAGCAGCCGATGCCAATGTGATGCTTAGTATGTGCTACACTCGTGTGTGTATCTCACACTGATGCTACAAAGTAGGCACTAATAATAGCTCCACCTTACAGAGGCACAGAGAAGGTAAGTAACCTGCCCAAGGACCACACAGCGGGCAAGCAACAAAGCTAGGATTTGAACTTGGACAGTCAAGTGGCAGAGTGTATACTTTTAACTAGTTCCACCTAGATTATTCTCATCAGGCCACTAGCTTATTCTGCTCCTTATCCACAAGCGGGATCCTTATTCACAATTGTGCAACAGGAAGCTTGGGCAGGGAGGCAAGCAGAGACTATGGTTGTCCTGTGCTGGCCCAGCTGGCACGGGCTGTGTCTGCCCAGAGGAAGGAGTTATTTTTGTGGGTTTTTTTTAAGATTAAAAAAAAATTTTTAAGTAATCCTCTACACCCGATGTGGGGCTCAAACTCACAACCCCGAAATCCAGAGCCACGCGCTCCACTGACTGAGCCAGCAACGTGCCCCGGGGTTTTTTTCTAACTCACACGCCAAGCCGAGTATCCTCAGGGATCCCACAGAGGGCACATTTTCCTGATTTGTACCAAACTGCCATATGGGCTGGCAGGGGTCTGCTCTGTGTATGTGGGTCCGGCCCCCACCATGAGATCTGGAGCTCCCTCCAGGCAGGCTGTGCCTCCCCCAGACGAGTTGTGAGATTTGGGAGGACGGGCTGTTAAGCCTCCACCCAGCAAGTACACAACCCCCCCTTCTCATGCTCACCCTGGACCTGGCCTTCCTTCATAAGGAAGGCAACTTGGACAAAGACCAAATGGTAATTAATACCCTTCTTACCTGCAAACTCATTGAAATGGTTGCCAATGTCAAAAGCTTGGTAGTTGTAGCCGGCGTATTCATAGTCAATGAACCGTACATGGCCTACAAGGTAGAAGAGAGGCAATAAAAGTTGGTCCCAGGAGACAGGGAAACAGGGCCAGGGCACGTTTCCACGGGCCTCTGGAATGCACCCACTGACTCTCGCTGGCCTCTGCAGCAACCCGGCCTAACACACCCTCCTCGGCGGTAATCTTCTAAGCTGTTTCTTTGTCCATCTGCCCTCCCCCTACCTCTGGCTGTCCCTCTCACACAGGGGGACCCTCACGCTCTGCTCATCTAAAGGCATCTGTCCTCAGCATGGCTAAGGGCCAGAAATAAAGGTAAGTACTTCCTAGGGGTGGAGCTCTCATTAGGAACACAGGACAGTTCTGGCTCCATGAAGGTTTGGGCCATCCAAGAGGTCCTTGGAACCCCAAAATGTGGTCAGAAGGAATAGTTCAGGTGTCCTAACACTGAGGACCTCTGCAAACCAGGATTTTGAGTTCTTTTTTGGCAGAGGTTTCTAAGAGGAAATTTGTTTTCCTTTTTTTTTTAATATTTATTTTTGAGGGAGAAAGAGCACACGTGGGGGAGGGGGAGGGAGAGGCGGGGACAGAGGATCCCAAGTGGGCTCTTCGCTAACAGCAGAGAGCCCGATGCGGGGCTCACACCCACGAACCACAAGACAATGACCTGAGCCGAAGTCAGATGCTTAACCGACAGAGCCATCCAGGCGCCCCCTTTTCTTAGATCACCCTAAGATCTAAACTAGAAGGTCTCCTTTTGCTTGTCCAAGTGCCAGTCTGAGGAACAGAACCTCGAAGGCAGCTGCTCGATCAGCCTGAGCCCTGCTGCTGTCCAAACAGACCCAGAGAACTGTACCTTTGGTGCTGTCATAGATGATGTTCTTGCAGAGCAGGTCATTGTGACAAAACACCACAGGGGAATCCAACTGGGACAGGTGCTCCTTCAGCCAGGCCAGCTCCCGTTCCAACACCTCCACCTTGGGGACATCTGCAGAAAGGCTGGGCAGTGGTAAGAAAGGTGGCCGGTGAGGGGAGGGCTGATAGGAGACAGGTAGGTACTTGGCCTCAAGAGCCCTGAGCTCTGGCCTTATCACTACCATTTACCGCAGAGGGGCCCTGGACAAATGGCTCACCCTTCAGACCCTCACTTTTGTCATCTGTAAAATGGCACTAGGGCTTCCTGATCTCCTGACTTCCTGTAGTTACCCTAAGAAGCTTATTAAAACATGGGCGTAAGAACATCTCGCAAAGCATAGAAGTGCCTGAGCCTGCTACTTTGTGGAAGGGATAGGAAGGTAAGGAGGGAGGCAGAGAGAGAGGACAGGAGGGGAGAATGAGCGTCCGCATTCAATGATTCCAGACTAAGGGCAGAGGGGAGAGCCGCAAACAGGCCTGTCTTAGCTACAAGATTCCTAGAGGAAGGTGTAGCTCCCTAAAACTAGACGGTCTGTGGAGGCGTCGCAGGGCCCTGTGGAGGGGCTGGCCCACTGGCATTCGAGGAGGCAGAGGTATGCCCTGGTATGTCCCCCTCCCTCTCCAGCGGCTGGTGTCACAGGGGGAAAGGACCAGAGAGCTCATAAAGCCTAGCTACTCAGCTCAGAGAGAGACCACTCAGGCCCACTTAAGAAAGCAAACGAACTGCGTCTTGGGCTCACTCCTATAAGACCAAGGGAACATGAGGGCCTTTCAACCCAGCACTCGCTCTGTAGCTCCCCAGTGACTCGTCCCTTCCGCCTGGAAGTACGAGCGTGCGCTTCCTCGACCCAGGCCAGACTGTGCATTCGTGGGCAACTTGAGGGCGGGAACAGAGATGATGGAGGTCACCCCTCCTCTGTGCCCTGCCCCGACCCGCAGCACATGACGCACCACTGCGGAAGGAAACACGCGTGGAGAAGTGAACGAATGGGTCGATCAGGGCTGGTAACAGAGGCCATGCCCTCACTGGTGAGGGCGCACCGTGCTGGGATGCTCTGAACTTTGGTCCCCAGGAAGCACACAGGTCTGTGCACACTGAAAAACCAAATAGTTAGCACAGCCCTTGAAACCCCAGAACCACCAGTGGGTGGAAGAGAGGAGGCTGGGGTTTTATCTCCTGTTCTATCTCCATGTATCTCCTGTTTGCTTTCTTATCCAGAGCGGCCAGAGTATGTGCAGGAGGAGGAGAATGGGATACGTCCTCCTGATCCTCCCAAAGGAGGCCCCGTCCCTCCCTCACCCGGTCCAGAGGCTGAAACATGGCAAAGAGCGTTTAGCAGGCATCCCCCCGTCCCCATGGAGAAGGACAAATGGCAGGCTTCAAGAAGGTCAAAACTAAAGAGGATCTTAGGCCTCTAGGCCAACTCTATGGGGAAACTGAGGCTCATGGAAAGACAGAGGCTCTCCAGCTCCCAGAAGTCTCTTGCACAGCTGAACCCTCTTCCTCCTCACCTAAGAGAGGCAATCCCCAGCCTGTCCATGGATCCAAAGTCAAGTCGAACCTCCTAACCGTGAGGGCCTCGGTGCCCCTGTCAGAGGCTCTGCAAAGGCCCGGCAAAGGCCAGAAGAAACTGTTAATGGGGGGTGATCTGGGGGAGGCCTTCCTTTCTCCTCACTGGAGTTTATCTGTGTTGACTGGTCTGCATAAGATGCGTTTCAATCTTGGCTCTCCTTAAGAAGATACCTTTTAAGATTTTTTTTCCCTTGGTCCAAGACCATCTAAAGATAAGAATTAGGAGGCTTTCTTTGGTTTGGCCAGGTCTCAGCCTGAAAAACATCTTTGACATCTAAGATACCTGCTGCCCAGGCTCTGACCTCTGCCTGACCCCCACCTTACCCACCCCAAGGCCACGCAGATGGTTACTGTGGGAACAATCCAGGCCTCCTATCTCCCTGGGCAGCCTCCCTTGGCCACCCCGCTTCCCTCCCCTGAGAACTTGAAACTCCCCCAGCTTTGCTACCTTCAGCCCGGACACCACTAGACTCTTTCAAGGCTGTGTGGTTGGCAGAACAGTAACGACCAGCGCATCACAGAAACCATCACACCTCGGGCAGACTGTCCCCTAGAGGCAGCAGGAGGGGGACGCAGGGGCTGCAGGGCCCCCAGGGAAGCCTGGGGGTTCCTCCTGATGAAAAAACTGCTCCCTGCCAAGTGTCCTCAGCTTTCAGGATCCAGTGGGGGGGGAAACGTACCCACAGTAGGCTATATGCTGGAGCTTCCTGGCCCATCACCTTTGCCCTGATAGCACTCAGCCCATCCAAATCTCCTCCTGATGCCCCCAAAGCAATGATTGCCGCCCCCATTGTCCCAGCCACCCCAGACACCTCTATGCCCAACCAAATACCAAGGCTATCAAATCTATTCCAAGTCTCTGACTCACCCCCCATTTTCCATCCCCCCCCTCCCCCCCCCCCATGAAGCTGCCCCAGGGCAACGTTCCTAAAAATGTGGTTCCTTGATCCCCCGCCTCAGAATCACCCGAGGAACCTGGCAAAGGCAGAATTCTAGGGTCTAACGCAAGACCTCCCAGTCAATCACCAAGGTCAGCCAGGGCCGGGAACCTACGTTTAGCAAGCGCCCAGGGGAATGCTATGCTCAAACGTGGGGAGCCCTAGTTCCAGATCTTGCCCATTCAATTTCAACACCCCCCGAGCTGGCCGCCCCCCTCAAGTCCCTATCCCCGCTTCCCCAAATCCCACCTGATGCTGTCCTTTACAACGCAGGAGGGCTTTCTTCCTAAGCCACAGTCGTGGTCCCTGGCTCAATGACTTACCGCTGCTAAATGAAATCCTGGCTCCTGAACCTGGCATGGAAGGGCCCTTCCAGTCTAGCTCCAACCCACCTCTACAGCCCCACCTCCCGTAGCCCTTCCCCATCCCTCCTGAAGGCCTGCTCCAACCACCCTCAGCCACTCGTCACCCATGAGCCAAGCATATTTCTCCATCTCCTCCAGCCCGAGTGGCCTCCCTTCCCAGCTCTGCCCGCTACCTCTGCCGAGAAAACTTGCCCTGGTTCTCCCACCCCCGCACGCATTATACACCCGGCCTTCTTTGGTAGCTATGCACAGGCAGGTCCTATGTACCCTTGCTCCTTCCTAAGGTTCCTAAGCTCCTTGAGGGCAGGGCCAATATCACAGCCATGGTTTTCGTTGTTTTAAAATCCCAGTCAACGTTTGGGAAATGCAGGACTAAACCTGGGTTATTACCCTGTGACTGGAGCTCAAGAGCTCTGTCTTGTCCAGGTCACTGCTCAGTACTACCCGTGTGGGATAGGTCAGGCAGTTTAGGGCAGGCACCATGCCCAAAAGAGGCTCTGAGAAGTTAAATAACTTGATTTGCCCGAGGTCAAAGGTACGACAAGAGCAAAGGTAGTTGGTCAGTTCTTCTCCAGGGACCACCCTGCTCCCAACAAGGTCACCCCTGAAGGTTACACGGTGACAGTACAGTCAAAGGAAGCTGAGGTGGCAAGGGTCATGCCCGAGCACCCAACTGGACTCTAGCCCTTGAGCTGCCACTGACCTTGGACAAGCCCCGTCCCCTTCTCCAGACCTCAGTTTTTCCATCTGTCAGATGAAAGTGGTGGGTTACGTGACCAGAGGGTCCTGTTGACTTAGACACCCCAGGATACTGCTCTCCATGTGCTGTTTCAGTCCTAAGGGGGTAGGCGACTCTTGTCCCAGAGATAACATTTGGCATAGAAGGTCTGAACGTGGGCCATCCTGAACAAATAGTCCTAAAGCAGTGCTTGATAATCATTAAATGGGAGGATCCAGATAAAATCATGCGTGTGTGTGTGTGTGTGACACATGATCGGGATCGAGTTAATTATTGTCCTGTCATCTTAGGGGAGGGAAGGAGATACCTTCCCCCCAAACCTCTTCTGTACCCTACTCCCATGAACCTCTGGAACAAGGGTGATGTTCAACCCAGCAGGGAACATGGAGGGATCAGAGACTCACTACTGCCTTTTCCTGGAGGGGGCAGGGGAGACACTCTTCTCTCCAACTCCCCATGCCTACTCCAGCACTCGAGGGTATGTTGGGGAGCCAGGTACCTGGAGGCTAAAAGGACTCCCAAGTTGCTGGCCAGAGAGCCTCCCTTGCTGTCTGGGAACCCTGTCTTAGCTGGGGAAAGGCAATGTTGGGGATGAGTGGAGCACCCCTTCCTTGGAAAGAGCAGGGAGGACACTACAAGCTGTCAGTTTGAATAAGGTGGGAAGCAGGGTCCCCAGAGGCACATGGGGACAAGAGGCATCCAGGCAAGTAGCAGGAGTCTTGATGTCCCAAGGGCTTGTCAACTGATGAGCTGAGTTCTTCTGACTGATCATGAACTCAGCCTCACCCCGTTCTCAGAGGCTGGGATCTCCCTACTGGTTGCTCAGAAGTCTGCTTAGGTAGAAAGGGCCCTGGGCTGGGAAACAGAACCCTGCCTGGGATGAGCCTGACACTGGGTAAAGCTCTGAGCCTCAGTTTCCTTTTAAGTAAAGGGGAAGACAGTCCCGAACCCCGGTCTCTACCGCAACCCGAAGACTCAAGGAGAAATGAACACTTAGGTGTAAAGCTGGGGATCTGAGTTCCTGAGATCCGGTCAGTCGGCTCAGCTCTGCTTGGAGACAGACAGAGCAGTCAGGACTGAAGCCCCTCAACCTCCTGGTGGGGTCAGATGGAGCCTAAAGAACGGAGGCGGGATTGCATTAAGGCGGCAGAGACAGAAGCAGCCTCGAACCCTCCCAGCTCTTTGTACCTGGGGTTGATCTCGTTCTTCACGAGGGTGAAATAATTGTGCATCTTGTGCCAGAGGGTGGGCTTGGGCAGGCTGCCGTTGGCGTGGATGGTGTGAATCTTTGCCATTTCTAAGGCGATTAGCCTGCAGCAGAAAACAGGAGGGGTACAGTATCAGCATGGGGCAAGCCCATCCCAGCTCAGCCCCTCCTGACCAGAAGGGGGCCTCCAGGGTCCATGGTGGGGCTAGCCAGAGGGCCGAGTACGGAACTATCACAGATCTTTTAGGGGCTTTTGCTCCCGCAGAAGGCAAGTCTGGGCAGAAGGCATGAAAAGGAGATAAGGCCTTTGGCCCGGCAGCACCCTTTCCAGAACCAGAGCTGGGGCTGCCTCAGGGAGCAGGAAGACAAAACAGTGGGCCGTTGGCCACAGGTCAATGACCCTGCCCACCCCCCCCCCCCCAGGGTCACGTACCCACAGCAACCCCTGGGGACATAGGGGTCACCTGGGGATGGGGGGACTGGCCCTCCTCCCTCCTTGGACTCTGATCCATGCCCTGGTGGGGGGGGAGGTGAATGCAGGGCACCGAGGGATCAGGGGGTGGTGATGCCAGGCAGGGAAGAAATGGCTGCCTCTTATCAGCCTGGCCAAGGTGGGGAGGGGAGCAGGCCGGCCCAGGGCAGCCCCTTCCTCTGCGGCAGGGAGTTGATGCTGGCGGCCGGGTGCCAAGGACGCAAAACAAACCAGCGTTCTATTTTCAAGTTCTCCTGTGGACATTATCCAAGGTCCCGGGAAAGAAGGAGGGGGCGGTGGGGAGGGCTGCTGGGAGAGGGTGGGGGTGGATGCAAGACTGACCGGTCAGAGAGGGAGGGCCTTGATAAGGACCCCAGCGTCTGAGGCCCTGCATCCCAGCTGGGCTCCCCCAGTCCTCTGCCAGCTCTCCCTTCTGGAGCCCCACCCCCCACCCGGCTGCCAAGCCTCCAACATTCAAGCTTCCTTCGCCTCTGCCTGTTGCTCGAATAATAATCACTGGGAAAGACAACAAAGGCATTGGCTGTTTGAAACCTTGTTACTGAGCTATTCCAGGGGCACCCCTCCCCTTGCCAGGTCCTGGGAAGGGGCAGGCCATCACCCAACAGGATAACAGGGCAGCCTAGGGGCTCCTCCGGAAGCCCCCAAGGCTCCCACCTCCTAAAGGGTGGAGGGGGCAGGGGGCGTGGCAGCCACCGGGTGGGTGAGAGATGAAGGCTGTGCTTTCAGAGGCTAGAGGCCCTGGGGCAGGAGGGAGCCGGCCAGGGTTTAGGCAAGGCAGGGAAACAGACCTGAGACCCTAGCCTTCCCTTCCCAAAGGAAGATTCCGACTAGAGCCTGAACAGAGCCTTTCCTTGAATATCAATAGGGCTGTTGTCTGGAGAAGCAAGGAGAGTAACCTCAACACTCAGCATTTTTATGCTGCAAAGCCCCAGCAGGCAGAGGTTAGGAGGTGGGGGTTCAGGAGAACATGGGGAAGTGGCTCCCAAAGGCCTTTCCCTCTTTGCCTCTTCCTCAGATACCCACCTTCACTCTAGAAAGACTGGAAAATCATCAAGGAAGAGCCTACCTCCTACACCTATCCCAATTTCTGGCTCTCTCCCAAATGTAAGATTGTCACCGAACCTAAATCCACCTTCAATCTTCCCTACAGTGATCTTTGTCTCCATGAGAGAATGAGTCACGGCACCAGACTCACAGAGGTGGCCCGAGACTGGGAGTGATCTGGTGAGGACACAAGACTGAAGGAGAGCTGGGAGGATAGGGTGGGAGAAGCCAGGCCAGGATTCCCCAGGCCCTCACCCTGCTCTGACCTCCTATCTTCAGGCTGGGTGCTCAGCCGGAGCCTGAGAAGACCACTGTGCAGGTCTGTATGTCCCCCTACCTACAGACAGACAGACACGTACACATATAGATAAAACATACACCGGGATGTACGGGGCGCCTGGGTGGCGTAGTCGGTTAAGCGTCCGACTTCAGCCAGCTCACGATCTCACGGTCCG